GGTTTAGGGTTTGAAAACGAGGCTTCTGGATCGTGATGGGCGCAACGCGGTCTAGGGTCCAGATCTGTTTTGAAGCCTTCAGCTTCATTCTTTGCAAAGTTGGAGGGGCCCTCACACCCCGCACACCCGTAGAGGATGCTAAAATTTGCAAGAACGCCCGATATCCCAAGAGTCCAGTGACCACCCCGAGCACAAGCGCTGATGGCTGCTCCAAAGCTAACTTCGCTTGGCTTTGCTTTAGCCTGGAGAGGTTCCTATTGGGGCTCAGGGTGTAGGATTCATGGTTCAAGGTGCGTTGCTTTGGCCTTGTGAGGTTACTATTGCGGGCCTGATTAGCTACAGGGCTATCTATGTGATATATGGGGAGTGCTTTGCATTCAGGGCTGTGGGATTGTCATCCCAATAGTGGATCATGTAGTAACTAATACAACATGACATGGACGACCGGTGTTTTATACAGGTTGTAGATTTAAAGTATACCCCCTATGGGGAGCAAGCTCCCTTGTCTACCCCGAGGATATGACGAAAGCAGGAGGATCCCAAAAGCCTTAGGCATCATGTGTAACGACTCTAAACCCCAAACCCTAAACTCCAAACCTTAAACCCCAAACCCTGAACCCTCAACTCTCAACCCTAAGCTCTAAAGCCTAAACCCCAAGCCTTAAACCCCAAACCCCAAACCCTAAACCCCAAGCCCCAATGGTAAACCCTAATATGTGCTAAGCTGTGAAGGAAGTGCTTTCCCAGCTCGCGTGCGCAGCTGGCTGAGGAAATGTGTTTTGAGGGTTCAAGATTTAGCGGCTCCTCTAATAACACCCCGGATTCTTAAATGGACAGGCAAATTCAAGATGCAATGGAAGCTGTTGTCATATGGTAATTGCTAAAGTATTGGGACCCCAACATAGACCCCAAAATACTATAATCCTGATCATGCGGACTCTCAAGAAGGTACCCCTAATTTTGGGAAACCCCCATAGATGGGCTGCTGACCTCCGATCATCAAAGCCCCACACCGGGGGGTGGGGGATTCTCATACCCTAAACTCTAAACCCTAACAAAGGCGATGGCAGGTGTTGGCTCAAGATGTCTTTCAGGTTAGGCTTATATGAGGGTTAAATTGGGGTTATACTGGGATAATTTGAAATAGAATGGAAACTACTAGATTATATCGGGGTTCTACATGTAGCGGTTGGGTTTCACTTTTTTGGGATTGCATAGTGTTGAGTGTTGAGGAAGTAAGGATTTAGGGTTTAAGGGTTTGATGTGTGCCCAGGAAAGCGCAGATGCCTGGTTCGCGGAAGGGGCATTTTTGGATTGCTCGGATGCCTCCTACCTGGAGTTCGAGGGTAACTGTAACCTACCCATCCTTGCACTTATAGCCCGACTATAAGCCGCCTAAGTCCTCCAATATGGTCATAGTTTGATGAATTATATGTCCCGCTATGCCTGAGTTATAGTTGCCCTGAACCTCCTTGTTAACCCTTTGCTTGGAATGGCTTCCTGTTCGAGCCTAAGTTTTTATTTCAAGATTCATGTTCCTAGTGAAGAAGTATTCTAACCACTATTACCATCGGGGCGCTGGCTGCATGGCCCCAGAAATTTGTGCATTTGGCAATCTTCATGGAGGCTTCGTGCAGTTGCAAGCTACGCTTGTTTTCGGCTCACGTTGCAGCACCTTGCCCTTGCATATAAGCCCCAACGCCGAAGCCTACAGGCTTCAAACGATGAATCCTATATCCACAAAGCGAAAACCCAAAATCTAAAACTCCACTGAAACCCTAAACCCCAGTTAAGGTAAAGTAACTTTCCCTAAGCCCTAAACCGTAAACCCCTAACCCTAAACCCTTTTGAAAA